TTTCACTAAACTGCCCTTTGAGCCTGTCAGTACGTGTGATTTGCGATACTTGTCACACAAGGTATCCTTCCTGGTGACTATTACTTCAGCGTGGCGGATATCAGAATTAGCGGCACTTTCTACAGGGATGACCTATGCATCTTTCAACAGGACCGGGTGGTCCTTCGTCTAGATGAGTGGTTGTTAACCTGGGTGATATCGCCCCCAAGGGGCGATTTCATTTTTAAGGGGGACGATGGAACGAAAAGGGTTGACGCGGGGGCGAAGGAACGAAAAGGGGGCGATATGGGGGCGATGGAGCGAGAAGTTTTAGGGACACTTTTGAGACTTTTTTGTACAGTGAATCGCTGTATATCTGTCGTACAAAAACATCAGATCACTCGCTATTAGTGGATTGAATTGTGTTTTCAAATGTTCCTCCAGCTAGCTTCAGTACAGAACGCCGTACATATGTGAATATGCATTGGTTTCGTTTTCGAATTTTTGTTGTGCTCCGTAAAACATTTTGTATGTCTCTTTGTATTGTACTTTTTTAGCGTGCACTCCAGTTCGATATTATATTTTCTTTGTGTCTTTTTAATCCTTTTTACAGTGTGCGTGACTATATATACTTACCTCGAATCTTAATTTAGTTTCAGAGTTTTCGTCTTGAAATTCTTAGTTCCTGCATTGCGGTTTGTTCTTGTGCCATTTTTATATTTCTTTTTGAGTCTTAAATTTCACTTGTAATTCAATCATTAAATGTTACTATTTCTCTTTTCGGGCATTTCACTTTCTTGCAATTGAATTTTGTTTTCAGTGGTCATTACATTTAAGTGTCTTGAATAAATAAGATAATAATGAAATACACGTATCACGAAGTTTGGGAATAAAGTGATGGGTAGCACCAAAATTTTTCACAAAGTTGAGATAAAGACTGGAAATAAATTATTTGCATCGATATGTCCTGCTGACAATTTTAAAGAAAACAAAAAAAGTGTTTGCATAAATTGAAGAATTATTTCTTACGAAAGGTTATGTTGAGGGAGGGGGGCAATGAGAACTTCCTCATTGGCTCAAGGGGGCGATTCGTTCAAAAAGGTTAAGAACCACTGGTCTAGACCTACTTTTCTACCAAAGGTCAATTCTTTATTCCATAGGGCTCAGGAAATCGTACTTCCAGATTTCTGCCCTAATCCATTACACACTCTGGAGTGGCAGTGGCACCTTCTGGACGTTTGCAGAGCACTCCATTACTACATCTCACGGACAGCTGTCTTCCGCAACTCCGAAGCCCTCTTCATTTCCTTCCATCCTTCCTCCAAGGGCCGGAAGGTATCCTCCTCCACCATTGGCAGGTGGATCAGGGCGTGTATTGCGGAGGCATACCAGTCTGAGTCATTGCCAATTCCACGACATTTCACGGCCCATTCAACCCGTAGCATGGCTACTTCTGCAGCTTGGGGCACTCAGGCGTCCATCGAGGACGTTTGTAGGGTGGCCATGTGGTCTTCACCATTACCCTTTATCTGCCATTACAAGATCGACAGGTTCGCCTTGGCGGAGGCCTCCTTCGGTAGGAGAGTTCTCCAACAAGTTTCACATCAAAGTGCCACATCGGACCAGTCTACTACCCACCCTCAGGGACAGTAGGCTTTGGTATGTCCCATTGGTGGATTCTCCATCTCCAGTGCTGGAGAAGGGGCGTTGTCTTACCTGAACGCCTTTTCTCAGCAGGGAGATGGAGAATCCACTCCCGCCCTCGCAGGTCCTTTAGGCCTACGGTTAGTGTCAGTAGCCAACACGTCTTGCTGTCAATCAATGGCTTCGCCCGCATCGAGACTGGGACACCCTGGTCCAGGACAGGCGTGGCAAGTTTGGCTGACTTGATTTGATTGGGCAGGAACACAGTTTAAACCCATGGGTGGCTTCTCCATCTCCGTGCTGAGAAAAGGCGTTCAGGTAAGACAACGCCCCTTCTTTAAAGAGCACTGGTGCCACTACTCGAAATTTCGCCACCTGAATAAACCCTTTTACTAAGTTCTTATCAATGTAGTCCCTCAACTCCTTCATCTACGTCGGAGTCATGGAATACATTTTTGGTTTGGGAAGTTTCGCCCCGGGCAGGATCTCCCTGAACACCTCCATGAGGTCTTCGTACTCCCTCAGGACGGATTGCTGCTCCTCCCCCTCCTCTGATGCTCCCTTGCTGCACTCAGCGGTTTTCTTCGCCTCCCCTTCCTTCTCAGGCTGCTCTTTTCTCTTGCCAGAAGGGTTTGGGGCCTGCTTCCTTATAATTATTTATTTTGAGGCTTTCTTCCAATAGATCTGGGCCCCCCACTTGGCTAACCAAGCCAGGCCCAGGATCATATCCTCTGCCATCTGTGGGGCGACCATAAAATGAGTAGTCTCTTGGTGGTCCCCAATTCTAGCTGCACCATCTCCGTCAGATGGGAAGTGGCTTTGCCTCCTATCAATGTGCTATCAATCTGCTTGAACTTCACAGCCTGAGTCTATGATGGCCTTTACCCTCACCCCCTTGCGGGATGCCTTGAGGTCTACCCTAGCTTCAAGGTGGTTGACAGGTCCACTTACCATCGGGTCGTCCTCTCCTTCACTCTCACTGCCATAGAGAATCATTGTAGCTCTTTGGTCGGGGTTCCATCCCCATCGCTCTCTTGGATGGGGGACCTCAACGACCTGGGCTGCTGCTCGCGATTTCTCCTTCCCCTTCTTCATGGCAGGTTCGGGAGGGGCAGGGGCAGCAGGACCCGCTCTAGGCATTGGTGCTGGGCATACCATTGCCCAATGGCCTGGTCGCAGCGGAAGCACAGGATGAAGGCGCGACTCAAAACTTCAGCAGAGGTAGGGGACGCCATCGCCAGCTGCTTACCTCCTAACATGAACTTTTCTTGATCCCTCTTCAGCCGTGTCTCAAACTCTTCGCAGCCTTTGCATACTGCGAGGTCTAGCTCCATAGTGGTGACCAGCTGGTATCAATCATTGAGCCGATCTAGGATCCCTCGGGCAAGGCATAAGTGGAACAGGTCACAATTCAGCCCTTCTCGGAAGTACTGGGTCAGGAGTCCTTCGGGCCAGTGTCGTAGTCTCTCGTGATGCTCCTGAACTCTCTGATGTACTCCGCTACAGCTCTGCTCCTCTGTCTAGCAGTTTGGACCTCAGCCTCAGCATGTTGGGTTTGCGTGGGGTTGCCAAACTGGGCTCTGAGCTCTCCCAGGAATACAGCCAGGTCCCCCAGCTTGGGAGCTCCCTCGTCGTGTAGGGTGACCATCCCTTGCGTGATTTCTCCCTCAAGGTTCGCCACAATAATCTCCACGCAGGCATCTTCGTCAGGATACATCTGGCCAAACTGATCCGGGTGTAACTGCACCTGATTTAGGAAGAAGGCCAGCTCTCTGGGGTCTCATCAAAGGTTGCTTTTAGCGAGGGGGGCTGCTGGGCTCTGAGCACAAGCCAATGTCCTGGAACCCACTCCCCCGCATAGGGGAAGGGCCCAGGTTGAGCAGCTGGCTTTGATGATTGCAGCAGCGGCTGATCTGCCATGCATAGTGGTTGTGTGGTTGTTGGAGGACCGGCAGCCCCGGGTCTCAGACTTGCACTGTACTGAGGTGTGGCAATCCCCTGGGGGCTGGCCGTCTCCCCAGTTGCAGTAGTCGCTGCCCTCAGGGTGGATCGAGATGACAGGCTTCATGTGGCTGGCAGGAGTTGGCTGGACCTCTCCCGGGGAATCCACTCCTGGTTCCCAGCTGGCTCCTCTCCCCACACCTGCATGCTATACCATCTCTTCCATTGCTGCTCAATCAACTGACTGCTGCCTACTGCAAAATGCCTCCAGTCCACCGGTCCTTTCCATTCCAAAACTTTCCTCCTCTTCCATCCAGGCATCTTCCCCTGAGTCTTCACAGCACTTCTGGAGGTGACCGGATAGGGTGTAGGGGCTCAGTACCCCTTAATTGAATTTTAAATTTAATGAGAGCTGATTTAATGTTACCACTCCAGTCGATGATCCCAACAAAGCAAGCATACCTGAGACATTTCAATCTCTACTGCTAGATTTTATTAGGAAATGCATTCTGGCAGTAATGAACTCTAAGTCAGCTCTGATTAAACTGGCGCAAAAGCAATATGTTCAAAGTATAGCTACCCCCTTCCCCTCCTGACCATGCAGGTCATATTACCCAATTAAGCTGCAGACAATTATTATGAGAAAGAACCTTTAGTTTCCAAAACAATCTCCACAGCTGCAGATACGACACACATTTCATTCTCTCTCCCTGTCTCTGTTAGCAAGTCAAGAGAACAAAGAAAGAATCTGGAACAGCATGAAGTTTTTTCCGAACTTGACAATTAATTTAGATGCAGCAGCAAACACTCAAAAACAAATTGCAGGTCCTACCGATATTATTTTCAAATATCAAATGCCTCAAAAAAGAATACTGCTATTGACAGTGATATTTTTAATCTAGTCTTTATGCTTTGCAACATAGACAGATATATGGAAATTCTAATAGCAGTGCAATATATTGAATAAAACTTTCCTTAATATTAGAAAAACAGATTTCAGATAAAAAATACTGTCAATATATCTACTACTATTATAGGAAATACAGCAGTTCTTTTTATGTTACATTCAATTTTAGAAAAAGCTAAATAATGTTATGCTTGTAATATTGACATTATGAAAGTTGATTAATATTAATAGAATTGTTTTCAATACTTTAAACTTTCTAAATAATAGTGTTAATAATTTATAAACATATTACATAAATATCATTGTATTGAAGTCAACATTAAAATAAAAGTAAAATACAATATATCTACATTTATAACAATAAAAGGGAAAAAAAGAAAACAGACTTTATTCTGAAAAGTATACAATATTATAAACTATTATGTTTTCAAAGTCCAGACTTAACACTGTTTAATATAAATAATAGGACAAATATTTTATAGCTTACTGAATAATAATTGCAGATGAATGGACTTTTTCTCTTTTGTAGTTGATGTGTCCGCAACAATACCCTTGCAAGTTTCATCTATGGATTTTCACTTGGATCATCAATTCTCCATATCAGTGACTGAACCTACATTACGCGAACAGCAGCTCCAACAGGAATTGTTAGCCCTCAAACAAAAACAACAAATCCAAAGACAGATCCTCATAGCAGAATTCCAGAGACAACATGAACAACTTTCTCGTCAACATGAAGCCCAACTACATGAACACATAAAGGTGTGTGATGCAGCTTGAAGGGTAGGGATGTGGGGTATATGTGCAAGCTTATAGTTCTTATATATTATATTTTTAAAAATTCAGTTTGTGTATGTGCCTCCCTGCCTCCCTGACTGACACACTGACTGGAGTATTATTCTTGCTGATGTGCAAGAAGTTCAGTTTCCATAGTGTCTTAGTGATTTAAGCGAACAACGAGAATAAACAAGACTTTACCAAGGGAGTCTCTTTATTCTTTTTTGTTCTAGTTCAGGCTAATCTTCATCCCAAAAAATGGTTTCTGAAAACTTAGAACCAGAGCTAGTTACATGGGGAAAAAATTGTGGATTTGGCTGGAATGTTCAGTGGGGGAGGTTGAAAACCACATGGACAGCAAAGGTAATATCATCATGATCAGCAAAAGTGTTTTGTTTTTCTGCTACAAGTGCTAGCATATATTCTTATTGGAAGAGTGAATGAAGACAAGATTGCTATGTACAACACATGAGGGAAAATGCTAATTTCCTGAACAGCACAGCTAAAGCTCTTCAGGAGTGACAAGAGAAGAGAAAAAGAAACCAGAGGACAGGAAAATCTCTTTGGTGGAGACCAACATATGGAAAATGTATTCCAAAGAACCATTCTGTACTAGTAGAGCTCAGAAACTGGTGCAGGCTCTCCCTTCAGAGGACAAAAGATACTTAAATAAATCCCCATTGATCAAAGAAACTTAAGAGCTGCTTTGAGAAAAAGAAGAGGTGTGCCATAATGGTGGGTGAGCACAGGCTGAGAGGGAAAGAGATGGCTAGATATAATGCAGATCAGAAAAAAAATCTGTATTAGAATCAGTTTGCTTCAACTCATAGAACTGTAAGGTATGAATGGACTTTACAGATTATTTAGTCCAATCCACTGCCCAGAACAGAAATCCTCACAACATCCTGGAAAAATGCCTATCCATTTTTTTTCTTAAAAAACCTCAATTATGGAGCACCCACAAATTCACGGGAAAAAGCTGTTCTTTAGGTTAGTGGTCCCCAACCTTTTGGGCATCAGGGACCGGTTCCATGGAAAGAGGTTTTTCTGCAGACCGGAAGGGGCGTGGTTTCACATGCTGCCTGCATCCTGCAGATGGGGCTTCGCTTGTTTGCGTGGACCAGTTTCTGACATGCAGCGGCCCAGTTCTGGTCCATGGATTGGGGGTTGGGGACCCCTGCTTTAGGTAAAACATATCCAGTTTCTGGAACTATTCTTCATAGAATTTAGCCTCCAAGCCCCTTGTAATCCTTGCTGCATTCTCATCTGCCCTCTTTTCACTTCCTCAGCATTGTTTTGACATGTGACCAGAAGTGGGCACAGTGTTCCATTACTATTAGCTGAGCAGTGCACCATAGACTAGTACTATCACTTCTTGTCTTTTTGACACAATTCCTCTGTTGAGTCAGCCTCAAATGGCATTGGCTGTTTTGGCAGCTACAATACATTGCTGGTTCATGCTTTAGCTGACTGTGTTCAGCAGGTCAGCGGTTCATATCTCACCGGCTCAAGGTTGACTCAGCCTTCCATCCTTCCGGGGTAGTAAAATGAGGACCCAGATTGTTGGGCGCAATGTAAATATATATATATATATACATTGCTTACTAGTGTACACCGCTTAGAGAGTGCTTGCACTTAAAGCGGTATATAAGTCTCATAAATAAATAAATAAATGCTTAATCTGTGGCCCACCAAGATTCCACAATCATTCTTACAAGTACCTGTGCATCTGATTTTTCCTGCCTAAGTGCAGAACCTTGCAATTCTCATCATTATTGATAGCAAAATATCTAAGGGCCAATGCTCAAGTATATCAAGAATTTTTTGAATCTTGAGACTGTCTTGTGATAGTCTAGCAATCTCCCACTTTTGTGTGACCTGCAAATATTGTAAGCATCCTTCTCTTATCTAAATCATTTACAAGTATGTTGATATGGGCCCGATACTCTCCATGTGGACATAGTCTCATTAAGAATCATTTATTGAAAAAAGATTGTTCAGTCAACTATGAATCCATGTCGTTCTAGTTCATCAAGAAGAAAGTTATAGTTTATATTATCAAAAGCCTTAATGCAGACTAAATATACATCTGTAGCATTCCCTTGATCTACTAACCTAGTTAATTTAAATTTAAAATCCCTTGGCATAGATGGTTAAAGTTCTTATCATAGCATTAAGCAATCAGTTTTCTATTTGTAATGAATATATTAACTACCTTGGAGTTTTTATCCTATATGAAATTTCACTGATAATCACTTACTAGAACCAAAAAACCTGACACTATAACTAAACTCACCCATGCAGTCCACAAGTTCATCTCATCAAATTCATCCTATCCCAGCACCTGAGGGGGGTCTTGGGTGTTTTTTGAAAGGTTAAAAGGGGAGCTTTCAAAAAGGGGGAAAGGTCTTCCATAGGGCAGGGGTTGCCAAAGAAAAGACACACTTCCTAGGTCCCATAAAATGGCAACTTTTAAAAAAGCAGGCCCACCCTATCCAATCTGGTAGGATGGGCAAATGTCTTTAGAGAGAGTTTCTATTGCAAATAACTTGGTCCCGTGCCATGTAGGGATTTAAAGGCAATAATTAACCCCTTGAATTGTGCTCTTAAATGGCAACATTTACACCTTAATGCAGACATGTCAAACTCACGATCTTACATGACGTCGCGCGATGTATTGGAGCTTTTTCTCCTTTGCTGACAATGGGGTGGGCGCGGTTTCCTGGTGATGCATCCGGCCCGCGGACTGGCAGTTTGACACTCCTGCCTTAATGTTTGTGGCAAGGTTAATGCTTTTAAAATGAATGTAATTTGCTAGTTTATTATATATTTTATGTAGAATATATTATATTTGCAAAAAAATTTTCAAAATTTTAATACACGGTTTCACATTTTTGTGGGAATCTTTTGTTCCAAAATACAGTACCTTTTGAAAAGACTAATTTTTCAATTAAAGAACTTGAACTTTATGCTTTTATTATGATTCATCATACGGTCAGTCACATGTTCATACTGGATTTGGCATTTTTATCTACTTATTGAGCCCTTCCCAAGGACCTGGGATAGGAAGAGGTTGATGTTTTATGGTACTTAGAGGTATTGTCACAGGATGTGAGTTGTATTGAGTAAAGCTTTCTTTTGCAGTTGACTGATGGTAAATTTGTCAATGTCGATGGTGTGCAAATGGTGCTCCAGTTGCTTTGGGATTGCCCCCATTACTATTAATACTACCTCTGCTTTATTTTGTCTTTGGACCTGCAAATAGAAATAGACATTTCATCAGTGCAACAGTCTAGAATGAGGGTTACCTTGCTGCATTCATAATCTGTGCAGGTTTGAATTCTATGTGGTGATTGGCTGCTTGTAGGGAAGTGTCCATTAATTGGTGGGTGGATTGTTAGTTTTAATTGATCTGCCTTGTCATTTTATTGTGAATGGTTTGGATCTTGCATCTGATTGGTTGGTAAAACACATTTAGTTCTGTAGTTTGCTGTTGGCTCCTTTATTTAGGTGCCAGGCTTCCAGGCTTCTCTGACTCCTCTGTTTGCATGGATGCTATACAGGTTATCCTCAAGAAATGGCAGGCCATTTAATGACTATTTAAAACAATGACTAACACCCCCAAACTACATACGAACTTGTTTCCATGTTATGACAGAAGAAATGTTCTTGCAGTCATTCGCAGTTATGACAGACTACAGGAGCGCTACAGTGTCCTTTCCTGCCTGTCTTCCCACCCATCCCCTGTTGTGCTGCTTAGGCTTGCTCCCCATGCCTCTTGGAAGCAGTTGCCATTTTCAGCACCCCTAAAATAGCAGCTACTTACCAAACTTTCTGTGTCTATGGTAAACTGGCCCTTAAGGCAGCTTCTGGACGGACTTCCTAAAACCTTTCCCTTGCTTAATCTCCTCCCTTCCGCCTAAAGCACATTTCTTCTATAAAAAAACAAAAAGCTGGGAGGGACAAACTTTTATATCTCCCTCACCCTTTCCAATTAGGTGCTAAAACTAAACTCTCCCATCCAATCAATATCCCTTTTTAAAAACCTTACCTGATTGATTGACTTTCTGTAGTGGGCAGTCTACAGTCTGGCCCAGTGGTGGCGAACCTATGGCACGGTGCCAGAGGTGGCACTCAGAGTCCTCTCTGTGGGCACACGTGCCATTGTCCCAGCCTCACCTCCCCCCGTGACCCCCTCTTCACCAGCAGCTCCCCTGGAGGAGAGTCGCCCCGAGCGTGGCCCACACGGAGCAGCGCAGCCAAGGACATGGCAGCCAGGAAGCATAGACAAGACTCTGCCCTCATGCCCCGTTGTGCACAGTTGATGCTGCAGGGCGCAGGCAGAGGGCATGGCTGTCATGGCGCTGCTGGGTTGCCTCGGCGATCTGTGGCGGGCCCTGGAGGTGGTGAATGGCCCTGCGGGCAGGCAGGGTGGGGGCGGGGAAGGGGTGGAGCAGGGGCGGGGCCAGTTTTTGGGCACTCAGTCTCTAAAAGGTTCACCGTCACTGGTCTAGCCTTTAAATCCTAGCTGGACTCTACATGCAGTTAAATGGACAGATAAAGTTTGCAAAGACTCAGAGTCCTCCATTTCTGGCACAACTTTTAGGGTTTTGGGTTTTTTTTTACATCAGGCAAAAAAGCTGCAGAAAGATTTTCTGTGAGGGAATGTGCCACAAACTTTACATCATATTTTGACAGAATGCTCTCCTCAGAAGATTCCCTGGATACCTGCAAGAACTACAATATTTTGTAGGCACTGCTGTCCAATAGTTAAATGATCCAGATCCAGATAGGTTTAGCCATTCTAGTAACTGCTCGTACATAATTTCATTTTATTCATAATTTTATTCATCATTCATGTTGGGTGTTTTTAAAGTAATTAACAGAATGACAGTTTGAAGAGACTTGGAGGTCTTTTAGTCCGACCCTCTGGTATACCTTTCAGACAAATAGTTGTCCAATCTCTTCTTAAAAATCTCCACAATTTCTGAATGCTGGTCATTCTACTGATCAATTGTTCTGTCAGAAAATTTCTTCTTAGTTCTAGATTGGTTCTCTCCTTGATCAGTTTCTATTCATTACTTCTTGTCCTGCCTTCGGGGGGGAGGGTTCTAGGACAACCTGCCACGGTCAATTTGCCACAACGCAACTTGCCATGGGACAACTTACCCACGGGACAATTTAATGCTGTATTGATTGTTTTATTCTGTTACTTTTATTATTTGTGACCGTGTTTTCGTTGAAATTATTGTAACTTTTGTATTTCTGGATTCTTTGTTTTATTATTATTGGCCATGGTTCTGTTGAAATTAATTTAACTTTTGTATTTGTTTAATTGTTCTGCAGTGAGTCCTGTGGTGAATTGGCTGTGGCCAAATTGTCTCATTCCGCTTTAGAGAATAGGATGACCCACTCTTCTTTCTGCAGCCCCTTAGATGTTAGAACACTGCTATTATGTCACCCCTGGTCCTTTTTTTCTTTAAATTAGATACAGCCAATTCCTGCAACCGTTCTTCATATGTTTTAACATCCAGTCCCCTAATCATTTTTGTTGTTCTTCTCTGTACTCTTTCCACAGTCTCAACATCTTTTTTATATTGTGGCGACCAAAACTGGATATAATATTCCAAGTGCTGTCTTATGAAGACATTATAAAGTGGTACTAACTTTTTATGTGATCTTGATTCTATCCCTTTGTTAATGTAGCCTAGGACTATGTTTGCTTTTTTGGCAAGTCATTTAAATCATTGATGAAGATACTGAAGAGTACTAGTCCTAAGATACAGCCTTGGGTTACCCCTCTGCATGCTTCCCTCTATGTACATGCAGTTCCATTAAGGATTACATGTTGAATGTGGTTGGTCAGCCAGTTACAAATATACAATTAAAAAAACAACACTGCTTACCCCGTTTTAATAAAAGTGACATAATTAACAAAGTATCCGTAAATGTAGAGCAATACCTCCTTTCCAGGTAGATACCTATAAATAGATTGAAGACTATAGTTGTACTTCTATTTTGTAGAAGTTGTGGAATTTTTTTATTACTGAATGATGGTTTTTTTAAAAAATAATTTATGATACAGAATTATGTTGTGAAAATACTGTTCAGTATGCTTGCCAGAATCTGTGTTGTGATATCATCAAACACAGATCTTCAGTTTCTCCCTTGGTTTCTTATTTAGAATGTAATTTTTTCCTTCCTTTAAAATGCTTTATTCTGACAAATATTAAGATGCCATTTTAAGGAATTGTGTGCATTTTTAACTTCCCCCTCTTTTATTGGCCTAACAGCAGCAACAGGAGATTTTAGCAATGAAACATCATCAGGAACTATTGGAACACCAGAGAAAATTAGAACAGCATCGGCAGGAGCAAGAATTGGAGAAACAACACAGAGAGCAGAAGCTCCAGCAGCTTAAAAATAAAGAGAAAGGAAAAGAAAGTAAGTAAAAGCATGCTAGGTTATGCTTATGTAATAGACACATTTCTCTGCAACAAAACATCAAGAAAAAACATGTACTTCATTGACTGCTCCTTCCGCTTTAACCTGGAAAAACTAATCAAGAGCCTATTTTATAGATAGATTTCAAACGACATTAGAACTACAATCCTAATTTAGCCCAAGGATATTCACCACAGTCTTCATGGTGGACCTACAGAACTGTGTGTGCATAATCTACTATTTTACTATGTTCCAAGATTCAACTTTTTTGTGAGATTGAGCCCTGTTGGCTCATGCCCACCTTGAGAATATTATCAGACTTTTCAGCCCATATTTAACAACACTGTGGGGCTGAAAAACTATCCAACATATAGTGACAGTGTCAAAACAGAACTTATAATGGAGATTTCGCTGATTTTCTGGCTGCGACAAATGAAATAAAAATTATATTTGCAATATTATATTTGCAATATTTGTAATCTTCCTATTAAGATTTCAGATTCTATATTCTATGTTTTGTATTTTAACTCTGTTCGTTTTTACTGAAATATGTGTGAGTATGCCATAGAATAAATAATAAACCACAGTAGAAATATTGTGAAGATTGTGGCACTGCTATCTGATTTTCTTTATTATTTTCAGTATTTTATTAACCAGTTTTATTTGGTTTGTTCCTATACTGTATAGGTCCCTCCTATCTATTGCTATGAGGCAATATTGTTCTTGCCTTTTCTAATTGGATAAGGGCAGTTGGACTGTTGTGCATATTGACAGAACCTCACACCTTAAATATGTTGCAGATGCTCAGTCTTCCTTTCGATTTCAGTCAATCAAATTTTACAGTATCAATTGCCATTCCAATGTTATGGGTATTTCTAGGAAATACAGGAAGAGACCTTCTAACCCTTTTGCATCCTGCAAAATTGAATGTTCATAATTGACAAACATTCTGTTACTAACTTAATTTTTATGTAGGCATTACAGAACCATATGCATGGTAGATTTCTTGGATCTTGGTGAATGAGAAAGGCTGGAAATTGAGGCTTCCAGTTTGCTGTGCGGCCGCCATGGACAGCTGGGAGACTTGCTCTCTCTCCCCCATTCAGTTTCAGATTGCTGGGGGGGGCCTGAAAAGGGCCCAAAATTGCCCCGAAGAGGCGATCAGCAAGGATGGGTTCTCGCTGGACCGCAGGAGAGCAGCAACTCTCCTGTTGGAGCTGGCGATCCCTCCAAATTGGCGGACGAAAGGACTGGCCATAGAAATATGGCTCCTCCCTAGGCTGCAGACATCCGAAGTCACACTACCATCTGGCAACTTCAAAGCAGTGTGGAAAGGATTGGGTGAGATCTACCTCTCTTAAATCCCAATTGCTTTTTTGTACCTATTCAAGCTGCTAAAGTACTTTCCCTCCTGTGGAGAGGGAAGGAGGATTTTAGCCCTCCCTCTAGAAACAGTGGCAATCGAATATACAGAGGAGTTTTGAAAACGTTGAAAAAATAATTGGATCCCAATCGGAACTTTATTTCCTAAAGCTTGTGGATTAAAAGATTTTTGATTATCTACTTTTTACTTTCTATTTTTATTTGAAAGTCTGGGTTTTTCCTCTTAAAATAGAAGAAAAAACCCAAAAGGATTAAAATAACTTTGAGATTTAAAGGAATTCCTTAAACAGTGATATGACATCTTGTGGCTAAACCTGAAATTTCAATTTATTATTCTTAAAGAAAAAAGACTTTGCTGACAGTTCAGAAAACAAGATAAGATTCATATGACCTTGAACACCAGATGTGAGACTTTTAGCTCTGTTTCTTATTTACTGGGGGGAAAAAACTGTAAAAGTTTTCAATTCAACTCATCACTATGGAAGAGCAAGAATAGACCTTTTCTATGGAAGAAATGCGAAAACAAAATTTTTGCTATATTGAAAATACCTTACCAAACTTAACCAAATTCTTCCTACAGCTGGTGGTGAAATAAGAGTTTTCGGGAAAAAACCATAAAGCATCTTAGATATGCAAACACAGACTTTGATTATAACTAAAAATTTATCTATACAGAATACAACAGAAAAAAATCAAACAATTAAATATTATCACAGAAGACCTAACTGCCCAACAAGTACAGACAATAGAAAATTCAGAAAAAAATCTGTTCTCCAGCAGGATTGATGGAGAATCCACTACAGATGGGTTGATCCTTGACTTCCTGCCCAGAGACTAAGTCAATCAACCTTTGCCACGCCTCTTCCCCTGGTCTAAGGATCCAGTTTCGACTTAGTCTTCAGCCCAATGAAATATGTGGTAAGATTGGCCCAGACTTTAGGCAGAGACAGATCAGGTATTGTTTCTCTGTTTATTTCCCATCTATTGTGGATTTTTTCTCCAGTTGCTGTGCTTTCACAGCACAGGTTGAATTGCCGGGTTTTCAGGGGATTTGAGGCTTCAATTTATTTATTTATTTATTTATTTATTTATTTATGAGACTTATATACCGCTTTAAGTGCAAGCACTCTCTAAGCGGTGTACACCAGTAAGCAATGTATATATATATACATTGAAGCCTTGTATATAGCCTTTGTAGGATGGCTGTTTTAGCGTGCGCCAACAGACGCCACGTGGAGTCTCGCTGATTTTCCCTTTAATTGTCTCCCCTTGCTTGGTTTCCTTCTTGTGTCGATCGGTTTGAAAGCATGTCGCTTGAGTGCTTAATTCTGGCCGCCTTTTCTCCGGGCATAGGCTGAAGCCCTAGCTACTTTCATTTTCGCCCATGGGCATGCTGCAGAAACAGGCAGCATTTAAGTTGTTGTTTTTCCCTTTCAAGGCTGATTGCTTATTCAGGGGCGAAGGCCAGCATTGTTCCCAGAACTGTGTTTGTGTCTGGTTACCAGACAAAGGCAGCAACATCGCTATTTTGGGCGCTGTATGGGCGGGCTGCAGAAACAGGCAGCGTTTAAGTTGTTGTTTTCCCTTTTCAAGTCTGATTGCTTATTCAGGGGTGAAAGCCAGCATTGTTCCCGGAACTATGTTTGTGTCTGGTTACCAGGCAAAGGCAGCAACGGAATTTAAATCCAGCTACACTATATACTGAGACCCTAGATCTCAACGAGGCTGAGGACGGCCATTCTTTTGGAGGCCGCGCATCACAACCAGCAATCTGGACTTGCATTAATATCTCTGTTCACACAACTACAGCAATACCATTGCATATTTATATCTAAAAGGGACTAATTATTGCATCAAGTACAGATTCAGTATAACTGCCGCCTTGGTTCAATTCAATCTATATGTTAATTTCTATTCAGCCTCTGGGCGTTCAGGCCTGCAAGCAGAGGCAGCAGAGGCAAAGCCACCTTTGGAAGCAGGGTCTCATGACCATTCTGAAGGTGAATGTGTGCTGGCTGTTACTCGCCACTAAATGAAGCACATGCACCTGATTGTTACCATTGAATTGATCTTGCCATCACTAAGCGAACTACACGTGAACTGTCTGTTATCATTGAATTGGTCTTGCCGTCACTAAGTGAAACACATGTGCATTGGATCTTATCATTGAGTTGGTTTTGCCATCACTCAGTGAACTACATGTGACTTGACTGTTACCATTGAGTTGGTCTTGCCATCACTAAGTGAAACACATGTAAGTTTGGCTGTTACCATTGAGTTGGTCTTGCCGTCACTAAGTGAAACACATGTACGTTTGGTTTTTACCATTGAGTTGGTCTTGCCATCACTAAGTGAGACACATGTCACTAACTGAACTATTTATGAACAAGCTATTACCATTCAGTTGGTCTTGCCACCACAGTTGAATTGACCAGAGCACTGGATGTACTCTTACTGGTCCTACTGCCATCAGGAGCATTGCATGGGTGAGGGCAGTACCATTAATTTGGGTCTGCAGGCACGTTGGAACCTTGAGTATATTGTTTTTTTACATTGAGTGGCTCTGCCACTATCAGTACTCTGCTCCTTACTATTGAGATCTCTCTCAGCACACCACTGGGTGTGATTGCAATGGCAGACAACTTGGCATCTCAGACTTCCATGAAAAGGGGAAGTCCAAGTTCTCCAAATAGGAGGCGGCCGGTAGATTTAACCGAGTCTATTTCTGTCAAGAAGTCTTCTAGGGCGGCTGAAAAGGAGGCCAGCAGGAGGCTCCAGGCCTTAGAGAAACATTTCTCTGAGGCACAAAGCGACAGAGCGTAGCTGCATCTGGACTAAAGACCTCATCCCTTCTGACTTCCGGTTCCGGTACGCGGTGATGCCGGTCGGGTCTGGGGACTCGTCTCCAGTCCAGCCGGGTTTTCTGCGTTGGTAGACCCCCTAGTGGGTCGAAAGTCTCCCTGGAGGGGCGACCACCAAGAAGGAGGCTTGCTGGTGACTGCGGGAGAGCGGCAGCTTCTCCCGTGGCCCCAGCTATTTTCTTAGGGCCTACGGAGCAACGATCGTCCTGCAAGATGGCCGATTATCCTGCTGCACCGGCCAAAGTCACAATTACAGCTAAGCGATATTAGACCCACCGCAGAGGATCCGAGTGAGACCCTTTTTGCCCCTCTCTTTCCCCCACTTTGTTTTTTTTTGCCTGAAAAAACTTGGTTGGAATTATTTCCCCGTTTGGAAAAAGCAGCTTCTGTATGCGTGGGAAGAAAGGCATTGAGAATAAAAAAATTTTAAAGACTACACTCTATTTTCAGTCATTTGGGGATACAGGAAAAAATGCTTTTTCAAATTGTGTAAGTAGCTAATATTGGAAGATTATTTCTTTCCCCACTTCCTTTAAAAGATAGGGAAAAAAAGGTGTCTGGAAAAGATTTTCTATTTACTGAGGACATCTAGTGGTGAAAAGTTAATATTGCAACTATTCTTTGGAGAGAAGGATTTGACCTTCAGATTATTCTTGGAAAAGATAAGCTGGTGCAGCTGTGGGAACTGAGGGGGTTGACACTGTTTAATTACAGCCCTCATTAAAATAATAATAATAATAAAGAAAGGACTTTCTT